ATAGATACAATATAATATAAATATAAATATAAATATAAATATAAATAAAAATATAAAAATAGATATATAAATTAGATTTTTCTAAGATCTATTTAAATTATGTATAAGATTCATTAAACTACTTGTATTAAATATGTTTCCATTTATAATTTAAATTTTTAATATTGTCTTAAAATTGCCAAGTGACTTCATTTTAGCTTGACACTTGGCTTAACCACATGCTTCACTACTCTCCTTTTAATATAATATAGATATAGATATAGATTAAAGTGAAGGTCTTGCTGTTACAGAATTAATAGGCTAGAGATGGCAACGGTGCGATGCAGTTAGGCCGTTCGGGGCAAACCTGTATAAACCCGTGAAGATTTTTTCGTGACCCACCCCCTCACATAATTTACTGTTTTCAACTGTCCCACATAAACCCGCACCCGCCCCACTCCGCTTAAATTTTCTTTATTTTTTCTTTTTTGAATGAATTTGATAATAAAAATGAGATTCATGAACTTCTTTTTCATTTTCCTGAAATAGTGTTAATTAGTTTAAACCCAAGTCCTACACAAGCTGACAAGCACCTCCCTAACGAAACCATGTGTCTTGCAGTTGTTACCATATTCAAGTTAGGTTATCATTTTTTTTTTCCCACTAATTGTTTGCAATTTAGGAAGACTGTTTTCAAGTCAATGAGTTTTCTGTTTGAGTTTTTATCTTTTTAAATACAGTTGGGTTGTTTAACATTTTTATTCATGTCGCAATGAATTGTTTTAAACTTCAATCCCCAAATCATGGAGAAAGGAAAAGTACAAATAACTCTCAGTTCATCTTATTTATAACGGTAAGAAACCAGGTAACCTTATAGGTAAAATAATGTATAGCATAACACTAGTAGATTGTTATAAGCATCAGTGTAATATCTTGAATCAGTATATGTTTCTAGCTTGCCAAAGCTGCAGCCACACCCGTGTCAACCCGCAAGATTCTTTTCTAAAGAAATTCAAACTGCCACGCACCATACCTGCAAAGTCACAAACCCGACCCGATGCACATAGGTTCCAATCCGCATCGTTCCATTACCATCCCTAAAATAATGTAATATATTTTTTGTGGGGCATCAAAATTATTAACGTAAGAATGAAAGATTTGTTTCTTTGCTAATTGAAAGCCATTTATTTAAGAGACTGAAAGTTTAGTACCTACTACACATCGAAAAGTAATACGAAATTTGTTTTTCCTATTCTCTTTGAGGGGTGAGATTTTTCTTTTTTGTCTTTTTTTTCAATATTCAAAATATAAAAAGCAATGTACATGACTGTGCTTTCTCGAAGTCTTAAATGTTTCAAGAGTCCACCCCCCCCCCCCCACACCCTTTTTTTTTTTTCGGGTTAGTTAAAGCACAATATTTATTAAGTACCAGTGCCAAACATTAGGAGTAGGCCGAGTAGCAGCGCTTCTTAGAGCGAATGAGTTTTCAAAGCGAGCAAAGATATTACATGCCCAAAGAGGAGTTTAGAGATCCTATTACTATCCCTCTCCGGTGTTTGGGGGTGTATGAATAAAGTCCCACGTTATTGTGAGGAAGGAGAATGATACAAGTCATCTAACATTTGGGTGACAAGTTCCTTCTTATTACATTAATTGCCATTATCTACATTCATTGCAGGCTTTCTTTATTGCATTCATTGAGCACTCTTAATCGGCATTCAATATTATCGGACATGATCCTATAGCGTTAATGCATTAAGTCTTCAGATCTAGTAGTTATTATATCTAACTAGGATTCACCCCCTGTTTTCTTATCAATTCGTTTTAAGAAAAGGTTTAACACTTTTTTGGTAAAACAATTTTTGCGCTGTCTGTGAGGAGTTTCTAGTTAAAGTTTTAGCTTCTTCTAGATTAAAAAAAAAAGAAAACGACAGCAGCCATCTTTTTCTCGTTTGCACGAACTAACAATGGCAGGAAAAGGAGATGAAAGACTGAAAGCACTTGTGGACGTCACTGCCAACCTCTTGAACACCATCGACGAGGTTGACAGAGAAGACGAGGAGAATGTGACGCCGAGCGCTACACCCAGGCGGAGTGACTCACCTTCCCCTCATGGAAGTGTAACCACTTCACACGAAAGGGGAGCTTCCACATCCACAACTGAGGAAGCGCTATCAGTAGTGAAAAAACTTCTATAGGCGTGGTTGACAAGTACTCTAAATAACATACTCGACAAACCCGTTCAAGGGGCGAGTAGAAGCGCCGCACGAGCGGATACCACAGCAACCGCCAACGAGCAACCCGCTCCCACTCCTCTCCCAACAGGTAACACTCACACTGTTGTTGATGCAGGTACTAACGCACTTGCGGCCATTCTAAAGAAAATGAAAGAAATGGAGAATGAGAATAAAGCGCTCTGCGATCAAATGATGGAGCATGAAAGGGTTGATAAGATACCGAGCGCCCCGAAACTGCTACCAAAACGGGACGTCGACCGGTTCGTCGAACAACCTTACAGCGAGGAGGCAGCCCCACACGCCATACCCAAGACCTTCAAAATGCCACCATATTTGAAGATATACTACGACACAATAGACCCCGAAGATCACATCATTCAT